TACAAAAGAGTTGGCATCTTCTCTAGGTGTTTATTGAAACTGGACATAACCAAGGCTTATGACTGGAGAAAGATGATTAAAGTAGACCCACTAAATATCGTCGACGCAACCTCACAGATGAAAGAATGTCAAAATCTAAATGCAAGAAAAAAGCTTTTCCTTTAGTTCTGTACTGTAGAGAATGCTCATCCGCAGCAGCATACTTGATGTGGGTAATGCACGTCTTTTTGATTAAATCAGACAATCCATCAAGATCCATAGGCAAGATCGTGCCATTAAAATCGTGCCTATATATAAGCCATGACTTAATATATGGGGAACTATATGGTGTGTTGGATGCGTAATGTGCGGATAACCTCATTTTCTTAAGTTAATAAAAATGAACTTCTGAAGCTTCTTACATGACGCTTTTCTCATTTCCAGAATTTTGCCTCCTCAATCAAATTGGAGATGTGGATAAGCATCCTCTGCAGAGTTAAAGGAGAAACTTTCTTTATTGGACTGAGATTTTTGAAATCCTCTGGTTTGTGGGGTTGCGCCGAGGAAATTTAGTGGGTCTTCTTGTGGGTCCCATGCAAGAATGAATTTTTAATTCTTGGACTAAGACCATCTACACATCCCAAGTGCTTTCCAAAGATTTTTATTAAAACATTTGGTTCTTCTAATAACTCATGCTTTGTGGTCAATGACATGGGATGATATAGGATATTAACAATTTAAGGTTTTATTTTGTAGAATGTATTCAAAATATTGTTTTTAGTCCATTATTGTGATTTTATACCTTCTAAAAGTGTTTGGTAACTGGAATAGAACTCTGTGAACATGCAGGGGGTTCTCTCTTTGCTTTGTGTTTTCATCACAGCTTGATTTAGTAATATGTATTTTCCAACAAAATCTGTATTTCTAGAGTTAATTCCTTTCCTCTACAGGTCTTAAGATATTTTTACGGATATAAAACAGGTAGAGACTTACAGAGCATATCTGTTTTTAGACAAGAAAGCTAAACTCACAATACAAAAAGAGGGAAATGGTGAAAATTTTGGTTGAAGAACTTGATATGGTTGAATGCCAACCTAGATTTGATTAAAAAACACAGAGGTTGAAAAAATGTAGTTAATGAACACGTGTTTATTTCCAAATCAAAACGTGATAAGTAAGAGGCAACTACTCTTGCTAGATTTTTTCCCTACAAATAAAAGAAAGTCAAGAAATTTATAAAGGGATAAGTAGTATCATCATGAAACATGCTTCTTTGCTCATTTTAACAGGCAAACATATTAAAATGTGAACATTATTGTTAGACATCTAGTGCACGTTTGAACTTAAGCCTATCTTGCTTTGTTTCCCAAGATGCTTCAACCAATTACTCTGTATTATATACAACACATTTCTCTCATTTGCTCTGTTGGGGATGTTAGTTTTTAGGACTAAAAACAAAATAGCATGTTTTCTACTCATGCAAACAACATACCACTTCTCTTTATTTTCTCCTCATTTTCTATTCTCTCTTTCGATTCTCTTGTCTCATTTTCTCTCCTCATCCAAACAAATGGTAACATTAATTACACTGTTAGTGTTAAAGCCCTTTCTATTTTAATATTTCATCATTGTTCTTAACTATACCTTACTTTATTGACTCTATAAACCGGTTGCTTTAAGTTCTTTGTATTGAATTATGATTTCAACTCAAGGAAATAATTGTGTACAAGGTAGTTTATATAGATGGAGATTCCTACATCAATTAGGATTCTCCAAGTATGGTAATTAACTATAATAATAATCCTTCTATAACTAGAACTATTTCCATATTTATCTAACATCCCCCCTCAAGCTGAACGCCGTGAAACGAGCGGAAGCTTGACGATCAATGCAGAGTAGCGTGGTGAGGAGAAAGCTTTGGTGAGAAGGTCTGCAAGTTGCTCATGAGAAGGAACATACGAGACTGTCATTTGTTCAGCAATTACCTGTTCTCGTACAAAATGGCAATCAGTACCAACATGTTTCATTCGCTTGTGAAAGACATGATTCTTTGTCAGACAGATGGTGGACTGATTATCACAAAGGAGGTGAGGTGGAGGAAGCTTAATCTGTAGGATGTCAAACAAGTAGGTGAGCCACATTACTTCAGCTGCGGCAGCCGAGAGTGCTCGGTACTCGGCTTCAGTGGACGACCGGGACACGCGGCTTTGCTTCTCCGTACTCCAAGAGATTAGATTTGAGCCAAAGTATATCAAGTAAC